GCACTACTTATTTTAGGTAACTACAACACTTAAAAATGTGACATGTAACAAAAATGAAAGAAATTACAATTTTAAAAACAAAGTTTTAATGATTTAGAAATAAAACTTACCAATAGGGATGTGGAGTAGGAAAAAAGACCAGAGAATCAGTAGGGTCTTCAGAAGAGGCATCCCTTCAGCAGCCAAACACAAAGAAGCAATAATTAATTAATTATAATAATAACCCAATGAGATTTACTCCTAATATGGTTACAAGAAAATATACAATAATCTCATAGTTCCTCATACTCACACTCTCTTTCACATCATCAGTGTGCTTCAGACTTTACCCAAATAGTTATTTTGAAATTACTGTAAATTATTTATCAAGGAAAATCACCTTTGTCCGGCTTGTCCTCATACATCCCTGCATTACCTCCTATAGCTCTTTGTAGAAAGGTTCCATTTCTTCATCTTCCACTTGCTGCATGGGAGCATACACTTGAATAATTTTAATCGTTCTCCTTTGTTTTGTCTGAAGTGTGAGAACTGCTATCAAGAGTGATATGATGTCACAGCTGACTATCCTTGGAACTGTTTCTTTCCTGACAATGAATCCAATGCCTCCAGTCCTTGCTCTATTGTCGAATGATCTTCCAAGGAAAGTAATCCTGAAAATAAGCTCTTCTCAGAAAAAGGAGCCCTGACTTTGAAACTCCTAATATAACCAAAAGCATTTTTAAACATAGGTTTACAATCAAATGAGTAGGTAAAGAAAATGTAATGGGATGAAAAAGGATATTGATCTGTATTCATAATACAGTTATGTTGAAGTGGGATTGTTCATCTGTTGTAAACATAAACATATAAACAAATATATAAAAGATAATATAAAATTAATAAAGTACAAAGTGATTCCTTAGTTTATATTGTACCAAGATCTACAGGCATGTGTGATGACTTCAGTTAAAAAAAAAAAAGTGAGAAGAATGAGCATTTTTTCTATGTTGTAGATATAAATTTCTGGGGCTTCTATTAAGCGGATTCTGCACAGCAGGTGTTACAGTGTATCAAGGCTATCAATAGCACAAAGAAGAGTCACCCCAGCTGTTGATCCATAGAAACTGAACAGGCTTCCTGGTTATACAACCATGAAACCAGCTCCCCATTTCAGGAGGTAATTTCCTTTCAATAGCAACGGCAGAATACAGATTTTAGGTCAAGATTTTCATAAATGGGTTTCTAAATTGAGACTACCAAGTGGCCTGATTTCCCTAAAGCACTGTTCCCAATGAAATTATTTAGCTGAAGGGTTAAACAGACATGTGGCAAGGCCTTTTTAGTGATGGTCACTGACTTTAGAATGCACCCATGCCAGTGTGACAGAGCCTGTTATTTACTGTGTTTTTTTAAACCATCCAGGCATGATCTAAAGTCTCTCGGTTTTCCCTGGCTTCTCCTGGAGGGTTGGGCTCGGGGTCTAGGTGGGAAGAGTGGATTCAGAGCCTTTTTCTGAATTTTCAGCCAGTATAGTTTTCCTGTGTTTTGTACAGCTGTACAGGCACCTAGAGGCTCCAGTTCGTGCTTTCAGTTAAGTCTGCAAAATAAATAAATGTAACCTGAACCTCACACCGTTCTTTACAGTTACATAACAGCAGGAGAAACACAAGTATAACCAGAAACAAGATCCTTGATACGAAATACATCCGCACCATCGTAATGAGCTCCAGGTACAAACTCCATAGGGTTACTAAGTGCTGAAAAAATAAGGTTTTAGAAATAGCAAAATTATTAACCATCTGAGATCTTATAAATGTTTAGTTCATTTAATGTGTTTGTAAGAGTATAATCCAAGAGCGAGTTTAGAATTAACACAATTAAATACCATTACTGTAAAAGTAGTTTGAGATAAACTCTTGTAAGAGCTAAGAACTGTGGAAACACAGGATGTGTAGTAATTTTTTATAAGTAAAGAAAAATGGACACTCTCTTCAAATGATGCTTGTTTTCTGAAAACCCCATTAGTTCACAGAAGGCTTTTCTTTGTCTCTTCATGCAGCTTCTTTTATAAGCTGAGCCAGCCTCTGAAAAGCCTAAAATAAAACAACAAAGACCAGTAACATTATTTTAAGAAAAAACAATAATTTCTTTAGAAAAGAGAGGCTAGTACTAATTTTATCCCACTGAATCTAATCCTTCAGGATATGCTGAGGGAACTCAGCACTGGCAGGTTGAGGTCCAGTGTTAGCAAGAAATTCAAAGTGATAAATATGAAGTCTGATGACTCAGACTCATATATGTGCATAATAATCCCACCTGACTAAAAACAGAACCTTTTTATCCATGCTTAAGTGCTTTGTTGAATTGGAATGGATTTAATCATGGTCTTAAGTGCTTTGTTATATTGGAGCCTGAGTCCTTTCATTAAGGGCCCAGGTAAACTGAGCAGCATGTCAGCCGATGGATTGAATAAGGATGGCAGGATCCAGACCTCACTGAAATAAGAATATTCACTTGACAAGCTGCTTTAATTTAATTGATTTATTATTTGAGAATAATAATTTGAATATTATTATTTGAGAATAAAAACTGTAATGCTAAACTTTGTGATAATGCAGCATACTCTATTGTGCATTCCAGTGTTCTGTAGCAAAAGGAAATATGCAAGATTTGTAGACAGCGTGATGAAGTTGGAACTTAGAAAAATGGGGCCAAGTGACTAATTGATTTGGTTTTACATTTTGGCCATGCCTCGCTGATGGTGTTTAAGTGCCTTGCTGTCAACAGAGAATATAGTCTAGATGGTCCCTGCCCTGCTCTTAATATTTAACTTTTCTTAGTAACGGATTTATTCTTCTCTCACAATAATGACTGCAGCCTGTCTTCATCAAATTTAATACTTTGTTCAGACATCCTAATGTGAAAAACTGTACACACGATACTGTTGCAGATACACTGGATTGCCCAGTAGCTCTCTGCTCAGTATTTAAAGACATTGTAGAACATTTTTCATAAATCATTTGATTTAATTTCTTGTTTGCCTGCTTATCTTTACTTCTATCCACCTAATTTTTTTCCTGCTTCACCCTACTGTGCAAAGTAGATAGCTGCTTAATCCTTGGGTTGGCTGTGGTCTGAATAAGTAGTTTTAGAGAGCACTTTCCTTGTACATGTTGAACCCAAGGGCATCTTGAAAAGCAGTCTAACCACAAATGGTGCTGTTAGATGTTACAATGTGATACTTGCCATTGCTCAGGGAGTAAACGGCGTGGAAGATGGGAATCCGAGAATTGCTACTGATTTGTAAAGTCACCAGATACATACTGTGAATTAACCTACCCAGATGAGATTTGGTCGGACACAAATCATCCGGAGGTCAATCAAGTAAAAGTGAAACTGTGCAGCAGTTTCTGTCAACATGTACATGTAACTTCTGTTAATACAAAGGGGAATGACATGCACATCCCAAAAATCAACTCTAACTTGTAACTGTTGCACCAATGGACTTGTTTAACATTGAGATTTTAATGAGAAAAAATACATCAGGCATAATGCTGTGCAATAGATAGTTGCAAATTTTAGCTTGGCAGAAAAAAAATGAGAGAAAAAGAGGGCTGCAAGCCAGAATGCTGTCTGAATGTGAATACCTTCATATGAACAACAAATCAGATGAATTTGTTCACCTTGGGGCTGCTAAGCAGGGTAAACTGCAATTGCCTGATCTGTTGCTCTTGAGAAGGGAAAGAAGCTCTCACACAGAAACTGGGATCTGAGCTACTGGTATTATATACTTGCTCAGAGAACAGCAGCATCTAAGAAAAAAGATAATACTGGTATTTTGAAGGGTCACAACAAGTTTAACACAACTCTTCTTTCTCATGATTTCAGTCTTTTTGGTTCCATGTTTTGAGCCTATTGCTCATGCTAATATTCCAACTCAATTTAAAACCATAGTTCACCCAAATCGAATGTGGGTCTATGCTCCTACACTGCTCTCCCTCTATGAGCCAGTTGATGCACATTGCCACAGTTGAGAGAATTTTTTAAAAAAATCACTGCAGGTCACCTTGAATGATACCAACACTGAAGCAATCTACATCTTTGGAAGCTCATCTGGAATCTACTAACTCTGGGCTAGCTGACTAGGAGGCATTAGATCTCTAGAGCCAAACTTTAAAAACTCAGGCCTCTCTCTCTCTTTCTCAAAAGTGAGTGGACATGCAGACTAGTATTTGTATTCATGAAACAACCATTTGCATTTTCAAATTGGGTAAATATTCATACGCATAGATATTTGTGCACCCAAACACACGCTTTTCATATGCAATATCTTTTGCACAGGTCTGTTTTGGAGCTCAGGTTTTGAAAGTTTTTCCCTAAGAAGGGCTAAAAGGCTCTCTTGGTTTATCTTTTACAGCTGGAGAAAGGTTTGACCTAAAGTGATAGAAATAAAACACAGTTAATTGGGTACCAGGTGCAGTAAATAATTGTCTGCATACGAAACTCCTTCATCTGGCCTTAGCTATGGTCCAATAATTTGCAATGACATCACTTGTTTGTTAAAGGGTATAAAAAAGTAAACTCTTAAAGGGTCATTGCTTATACCTGCCTGAATCATTTGGAGTTGGGGTCTAAGTACCTTTGGCTTTAGCCCATTTGTAAGTATCTTGATCAAATGCTTACAAAAGTTTTGTTATCATTTGGATGTAGTAAACTGCTTAATTATTTAGGCTTTTCTGTCATGTTTAGAGCAACTGTATACATACCATTTGGCCTTTGGATTTAACAAAGAATTTATGGTTAAATTACCGTCCTGGTAATATCCTGCATAATAAATAATAATAATTCCAACAAGAGGCAATTCAGAATATTAGTACTTTTTTTGTTTCTTTTGAGGTATAACTTTGATCACTCAATCCTTCTCTGGGATACCTACGTATGGACCATGAAGGTGATAGCACATTAACCACAGAACTCTGCTTGAGCTGCCCATAGAAATCAGGAAGATGCTTTTTAAAAACAAAACAAAACTTTATTATCTGGTTTGGCCCTACATGTTAAAGAGTATAAAACAATTAAATAAAAAACCATTGAAAAGAGCACTGTGTTAATAACAAACAAAATGGCACTTATTGTATCAGAATGCTTCATAGTATGGCTCTATGATCTAGAAACTGGTTACTGCTACATCAAGGCTGAGCTGGCAAAAGTGGGATACTACAGTCATTTAAAGATAGTTAAAAAAGTATCACACCATCAAATGATTTTTAACTAGCTTTATTGCAAATTAAAAAATATTTTGATTCAAATGATGCAGTCTGGACCTTTTGAAATATTCAAAACAATGAAAGTGATTTTTGCTTTTATTACCCATGACTAGACTGTTTTTTTGTCTAATATAACAGGACAAACTCAGCAACCTCTCCTTGAGGCCCCACTGACAACCACTCCCAAAGATACCCTAAATGCTACTTTACATAACCACCACCTTCTGATAAGCTTAGCGGACACTGTCCAGCTTCCTTCATGTATAATTTTTAAAGTAAATTTTAAATTTACCAATTTTTATCTAAAATAAATACATTTTCTCATTTTAGTACCTTAAATTTTCCCTGTACTACTTTTTGCTTCATGATAAGAAATATCTTGACAGACAGTGAGGTAATCTAACTGCAAATCTTTAGTTATCTAAAGCTGAGGTCTGTGGGCTTCTGGTGGTATGTGGCCCAACTGCTGGTTGTGTGCGGCTCAAACTTGAAAGGTGCTGAACACTCTGGGCCAATACAGCAGAGCACTTCAATTATTTCACTGAAAATCAGTGGTCTAAGTCAAGTCATAATGCTGCTGGCTCTCTTCCAGCTGCTAAGAGACAATTAGCAATACATGAAATACCTTTGCAATATTACTTTTTCATGTAAGCAATATATGAAGCTGCTGTAGAGATTTGATGTAATAGCAAATGGGAGGGAAGACAGGCTGAACAATTGTGTAGATGGTGTGAAGGCCAAGAGACAACCTTTCTGTTAAAAAGGCCAGCCACACTGCAAAAAAGTTTGAGATCCCCTGATTTAAAGGGACTGTGTGAATCACAGAATATTGATACAAAGAAAAGTTACATTGGCATAACTACAACTCTCAGGGGTGTGAAAAATCCACACCGTTGACAGACATAGTTAAGCCATCCTACCCTCCAATGGAGACAGCTCTAGTCAATGGAGGAATTCTTCCGTCGACCCAGCTACCGCCTCTCTGAGTTAGCCCTGTCCCCTCGTCAAGGGATTCTAAAGGGATTAGGGCTCAAAGGATGGCAGGCTACAGCCTTGTTAGGAAGCTCTCAGCCTTGCATAGCAGGCCGCTGTGCTTAGCACACAGCCCCCCAAACAGACCAGACAATAAACTTCCATCAGGAATCCAGCCCAGTTTCATCTCTCAGAGACCAGAAACCCTAAGATCTCCCTGGTATAGTAACCACCTCCTAACCTTTGAAATCAGCCAGTTCCCATCTGACATCCATTTGGAAATTAGTTAGTTTCCAGAGAGTTAAAGCACCACAACAGGGTCTCCTAATTGCCAGGATATCTGTTCACCAGTGTGTATTGACCTAGTGCTAATAAGATTTACTTGCACCAATGGAGAGGAGAATATACAGAACCCCACAGCAGGTACAGCTTTGCATGCTACAGTGTTCCTTATACAGCATTCTTAAGCTGACCTTACCCAGGAGAGAGTATTAGACATGGACTCGCCCATCAACATCCAGTGAAAGAAATGTTGGTGCCAATGGCTTAAAAAGTAAAGAGTAACTTAGCAATGTGCCAATTTGGTACCAAAAAAACATCACTAGTCTACTTTCATCAGCTGAGGAAACAACAGATACTACATGACAATGATCACTTCTACAGAACGCCAAAAGCCTGTCACTGGAAGGGATCTTCCAAAGGAAAGTGAGTGGCAAGCCAATATCAATGATTTTTAATTCGATATTGGCTGAAAAATAAGCCAGATAATTGTTTATCAGTGGTTGATAGATTAGCAAATTTAACATTATACACCAAGAATGTCAATACGCTACAAAGAGAGAGCTCTATAGCTCTGCATCCTGTAAGTCAGCTTTTAAAATGTCTAATCTTTAGATAAAAGATGCTACGTGACCGTCAGTCTTTAGCATAGTTATTATTCAGTTGTCAAAGCACTCCATTTTTACCCCTTGTGCTTCAAACTGAGCAGAAACGAAACACTTTCTGATTTGCACCTGTAAAGAATTTCTTTCAGGGCTTCTGGAATAATAAATACCTCACTGGTCCCAGAGGACACTGAGGATGTTACCGCACAAGTCTTAGCTGCTGAAGAAAGAAAACATGCAAGATACAAAACTCAGTCAGACATAGTGAATGATTCTATCAGACCTGATCATTTAGACATGTGCTGTAATGCTGGACTGATTTCAAATTTAGGGCCATTGTGACGGGTTTGGTCACAGAGATCCCCTTGGGACTGTCACCTAACGTGCTGAAATTACCTCTGAGCCCATCTTCCCTGCCAGCTTGGGACTCCAGAACCCTGTCTCGTTGACCCAGACAGGCTAGCCTGCTGCAACACAGACCCAGGGTCTGGGCCATGCCCCCAAAGCTGCAGACTTTAACCAAAAACAGCTCAGCAGGTTACCTCTCCAGCACTCAGACACCCAGTTCCCAGTGGGATCCAAACCCCAAATAAATCTGTTTTACTCTGTATAAAACTTATACAGGGTAAATTCGTAAATTGTTCACCCTCTATATCACCGATAGAGAGATATGCACAGCTGTTTGCTCCCCCAGATATTAATCACTTACTCTGGGCTTGTTAATAAACGAAAGTGATTTTATTAAGTATAAAAAGTAGGATTTCTGTGGTTTCAAGTAATAACAGACAGAACAAAGGGTTAACAAGCCCATAGATAAAAGGAAAGGAGTGGACACCTGACAAAAAGAGCCAATGGAAGGGCTAGAACTTTCTAAAATTGGGAAAAGACTTCCCTTTGTCTGTGTGTGTGTTGTTCTCCTGGAAAGAGGGGAACAGGGAGCAGTTATGCTGTGAGAAGCTAAAGGCCAGATATGAAAATCATCAGATCATGTCTAGAACTACTTATTTAAACCCAGATATGTAAGTAGATCAGAAATGTCTAGAAAGACGTGATTAGGTTTATTTCTTTTATTTTGTAAGGCTTGTGGACTGCTCTGTGCTAAGCCCAAACGCTTTTGTTTGCTTGTAACCTTTAAACTGGACCTCAAGGAGGTTATTCTTGATGTTTAATTTTTGTAGGTAGGTTTTTTAAATCTAGCAAACGCCTAGTTTCTTTTTTCTTTCTTTTTGTTTTTAATAAAATTTACCTTTTTTAAGAACAGGATTGGATTTTTGGTGTTCTAAGAGGTTTGTGCACATGTTGTTTAATTAGCTGGTGGCTACAACTGATTTCCTTTGTTTTCTTTCTCAGCTCTTCCCTGGACGGGGGGGTGAAAGGGCTTAAGGGTATCCCAAGTGCTTCTTCCTGGGTCCAAAAGGGTTTTCTGCACTTAGGTGGTGGCAGTATCTACCCATCCAAGGTTAGAGAGAAGCTGTAACCTTGGGAGTTTAATACAAGCCTGGAGTGGCCAGTATAAATTTTAAAATCCTTGCAGGCCCCTACCTTCTGCACTTGAAGTGCCAGAGTGGGGAATCAGCCTTGACACAGCCCCTGCCCCAAAGAGCTTACAGTCTAAAGCCATGTCTACACTACCACTTATGTTGGCAAAAACATTACTCAGGTGGTTCAGATCAAATTAAACTGTCCCATGGCAAAAAGTGCAAACTAATTTCCTTTTATTTGTAACCAGAGTCTAATTGCATTTGCTCAGGTTTAAGTTTTCAAAAGTGCCTAAGTCAATTTACTCTGACCAAACATTAGTTAAGTTTCATACTTTGATCTTCACACTTTTATAGCCAGAATCCACATAGAGAGACAAAAGGAAGTGCAAAAAATTAAAACATAATTTGCTAGTGCAATGTGATTTTAGGGTTTAGGAAGGGTTGGGTTAAGAGGGTCCTGAGCAATTCCAGTGAAACACTTTCTGATCAATACAGTTTTCCCAGTTTGAAATGTGCACCTAAAAATAGCATATGTATGGTATATGGTTATGTGCGCAATAGTAATAGTGTAGTTGAAGTAAGAAGATAATTTACTGTACCAAGTATACCATTTTTAAAACTTAACTACTTTAATTCAAAGTCCTTTCCCAGCCAAATTTAGCAAGGATGGCATATGTCACTCATGTCTCATGCCAAGTCAAAAGTTCTGTAGTTCATCCCTGAGTTATTTCAAAAGTTGCCTTTATTTGCTAAGTAGAAAAGGTATTCCCTCTGCCAATAATTCAAAATGACTGAATAGATTTTGTTCAAACCTTCTTTTAAAATTCACTTTTGGAAAAGATCTGGTGTGAGAAGATTCAGCACAATTTTGAGGAAGTTATAGGAAAATGAAAAGCCATTTATAATGGAATTATCTTCTTATTTCAACTACATTATTGCTATTATGCACATAAGCATATACTATCGCTGCATTATAATTTGGAATAATAGTCTTTTTATATGATATTGCCTGTCATAAAAAGGAGTTAATAGGTTGAATGAGATCATTTCTAATTAAACTATAATTTTCTGCACTCCCTATCAAAAGGCAGGTTTTCTGAGGTCTTTTGGTGATCTTCTATCCATGCTTGCTCCTTAAATGTCATTATAAAATCTTCTTTTAATAAAGGTGCAGATTTTTTGAAGGAGACTTTTAATTCGCTGGATGGTTTTCATTTGCTCTCTTCATACAGCTTCTTTTATAAGCTCAGCCAGCCTCTGAAAAGCCTACAATGAAAGCAAGATGGTTAATGTTCACATCGCAGCATTAGATAAGCAGGCAATATGCTAAATCTTAAGTAGAATTTCTGAAACTGTTTTAACCACAGGTGAACCCAGCTGTGTAAAGTTTTAGTACTTTATTGTAAAGCTTCAGATTCCCTATTCAGTTTGATATTAATAGTGCGTTAAATGTTCAAGAAAGTGGGGAGAGCTTCCACTTAAATAATCTGGCATGTTCTTTCAACATAAAAAATTAGAAGAAAAGATGGAGTTTTTTTGAAACAGGACAAATATATTAATCGACAAGAGTACTGTTATGTCACAACACGGCATCTATAATCTAGTGGGCATTAATGGACCCTAGCAGAAGGATTCTCATAACTGCAACAGTAATACAGAGGGGTACAATCTCATACAGGAGAGAGAAAAGGAGGAAGAGAGGTGTTATAAATCAAAGTCATGTGCAATGCCAGCAAGATGCAATTTGACTAGAGACAATATGATTGTGAAATTCTTTAGGTAATGATGAAAGGGGTGACCAACAAAGGAGAAGCATAACTAGACATCAGCTACACACCTTAGTGACTGAAATAAAGTAAGACCAAAGACATAGGAAAATTCTCAAGGCATTGAAACAATGGAATGCTATACTCTGGGCAGCTAATTGCTCCCCGCTCCCTCTATACAATGATGTGTGCTCAATCACAAATACAACCATTATATCCAAGATGTTCTTAAATAACACAGATTAGTTCCGAAATCATGAAGTATAGAGAGACTGTACTGGAGGAGAGACCACCTCCAACGTGCAACTGACTACTCAGGAGAAACTGAATGTGAGAATAATGGGGAGGCCTGATACTGGTCATCCTGAGCTTGTTTAATAATAAGGAATCAGTACACAGAAGACAGTGGAGTAAAGGGAATTAGATTTGAGGATGGAAAACTTTGGGAAATAAGACAGGTGGTTGCTCCTGCTCACACTAAATGAGCTGCTACACTTGCACTGACTTTAGTGACTGCTGGATCAGCGAGTGAGATCTGATGGGAATAAATGAAACTGAAGAAGGTAGGTGCATCTTAAGAGACACTAAAGATTCAGCACACTACTATTCTTCTAGATAAGAATATGTGCAAGGAACAGGTAAGGGAGTTTCAGAAGTACTGCTCAAACAGTACTTACCCAAACAAAAGCCTACTGGAAATGGAAGAGAGGGAGATAACTATACAATCCAGAGAGCTGGTTAACACTTGTAGGGAAAAAGTAAGGGAGCAAAACAACAATTACTACATGAGGAGTAGTCTTTTCAGGAATGTACAGCAAATCGTACTGCACTCACCTGATCCATTTGGGCTGGAGAAGACAGAGAGAAAGAAGCTCTGACATAAGAACTAGGAACGGAGCCATCAATGTTAAATGCTCCCCCAGGAACCAGTAACACCTAAAAGAAATAATTAGCCATTTAGTTACAAATTTCTTCTTAATTTAAAAATAAAAATTAAATAGCTCATTGATGAATAATGGTCTCACAAAGAGGCTTAATCCATTCCTTCCTTCCAAAAAAGGAAGGCAGACAACAAAAACTGGAATCAGATATTTCACAACAAAAAGACAGAACCTAGTTACTTGTAATTTAAGGCAGGTTCTATCTTATCATTCTCATGTTTTATAAGTATCAGAGAAGTAAATCTCTAGGTTCCTTTCTGACTGATAGCTGATGTCTTTGCGTAACACTTGTCTGTACAAATTGTTGAATAAACCACAATCAATTTTCTCTTATTAAAATGGAAACAATGGATAGTTAGGCTAGCTCTCTCTGTATCTGTTTTGGGGCAGAATTAAACAAACATATTAAAGATGTAGATTAACCATGCAGATATTTCATTAGTAAGGAGAGTTATCTGAATATGTTACTATATGCCTGTTCAAAATCTGCAGTCCTAATGAAGGCACAGTTGGAGTTGCACTCAAATAGTAGTTTATTTAACCCTTCCCTCCCACTACATTTTAAGATCAGCAGACATTTTTCATACTTCTTTCTGCAAAGCTTTTTCCATGATCAGTTGTTGTGTGTCAGAAACTCCCTTAATTTTAATCCATAGAAACATGCCAGCAGCAGGAGCATGCCAGTCTGCCAGACCTGGAGAGAGAAAACAGAAAACTTGAAGATAACGCTCTGTCCTTTCTGCAATAGGTACACCAAAGACACAAAGATAGGGTAAAATCCTGCCACCAATGAAGTCAGTGGGAGTTTTGCCATTGACGTCAATGGAGCCAAGATTTCACCTGCAGAATTTAAGGTACTGCCTGACAAAATCAATACAGATGTAATTCAGTAATGCTGACACCACTTTGTTTTATGGTATTTTTGAAAATGGATGCTCTGGGTTCTCTCACAGTTGGATTACAGACAGCCCAACAGGTGCACTACAGGTACAATGGTAGGCTGATTTCTGAAAAAGCAGCTAAACACATTGTGCTGTAATAAAACATCCTTTTTAAATGCCAGCTCCTTTAGTACCATAATTACCATAAATGCAATCTTAATGTGTTGCATAATATAGACATGGTTAGAGAAAGAATATTTGTTTCATTTTTATTTAAAATGTTATGTTTTTCTACATAAGAAAAGAAGGGATCGAAGGCTAGGAAGAGCACAGAAAGGAATCTTACTGCTTTAGTAGGCAGTGTTACTGTACGCGTTCCCTTGTACCTCGAGGCAATCATTGATCAGTTTTTGGCTGGACAATAATCCAAACACTCCTGTTTTTTTTGGCTCTAGCTTTATAATGTGTACATTGTATGAATATACTGGGTTGTTTGTTTCACTTGGCCTTTGCCCCTGTTCCTATTAGGTACATTTGATCATTACCAGCAACTTAATTATAAACTACTCTATAGAATAAAGACCTCTCACAGAATACTCCAAAGCCTCAACTTGCTAGTTATGTCAATCTTCATAAAATAAGAAGCCAGTTACTTCAGCCAGAGGAAGATTTTCATGGCTTTAGCCTTTTCTGCTAAATGGCTTTACCAGATTTATTTTTCTTCTTTAGTTTGGCTGGATAGGTGAAGGTCTTTTTCCACTAGACACTCCAACAGCCCTCATCACCATGTATCAGAGCAGCTCCCAAAATTAACAATGAAAACTAACAAAATTCTCTTTCCTTTCCACGTACAGTAGCAACTTGAAAGGTAGCAGAATTGCAAAAGGTTTTTTTGTTTTGTTTTCTCCTTTTCTCTTGCCCTCGCTTCCCTCTATGACTAAACTGTGAGAAGAGTTGGTCAAATAAAAGGGGTTTGCATTTGGTTCTGAGTGCAGTGAGGCCCATTGTCACTCTTCGCTCCTGGGGGAGTGAGTTCCATGGGCCGAGAAGAGGGATGTTCCAGTACTCAGGGTGTTAGCTTGGGACTTGGCTGGGAGACCCATGTCTACGCTAGAGACCTTACAGAGGCACAGCTCTCCTGATGCAGCTGTGTTGCTGTAAGATCTCTCGTGTAGCTGCTCTAAGCCAACGGGAGAGAGCTCTCCCATCGACATCATTAAACCACCCCCAATGAGCAGTGGTAGCTGTGCACACTACCACTTATGCTGGTGAAACTTCTGTCACTCAAGGGGGTGTTTGTTTTCACACCCCTGAGCGACATGAATTTTGCCAACGTAAGTGGTAATGTAGACATGGCCTAAAACAGGCTTCCTGTGTTCCCTTGGGCAAGTCACCTAGGTTACGTCTAAGATGTATTCTTAACTTGGCTTAAAGCAGCAAGGAAGACACATCAATTTGGCTTTTAACTCAGGTTAGCAGTTTTTTTTTCAATCCCAGGCTTCCCTATAGGCTTTAGCTTGATCTGTTAATCTGAGCTAAAAGCCAAATTGCTGTGTTTTCATGGGTATTTTAAGTCAAGTTAAGAACCTATTATTTATTTATTGCAGTGTAGACTCTCCCAAGTCTCTCTGAGCCTCAGTTCCCCATCCTGTAAAAGGGGGATAATAATGCTTCCTTACCTCACAGGGGAGGGTAAAGATGGGTGAAGCTCTCAGATACTATAATAATAGGGGCCATATAAATACCACAGATAGATGGGTTAGGTCCAGCTCCTGTGAAAGTTTCAGCTCCTACTCTCACAAGTCCCTACTGGCCGATAGGTTCATGGTTCCAGTGGAACAAAGCTGCTGCTGGAGATCTTGGTTGTGAAGGGAGAAGCAATCTCTTAGATAGCTATGGCCAATGCCATGCTGGGCTCTGAATATCAGGACTGAGGTACTGATATTGACTGTGCTATTGTATCTCTCTCTAAATACATCAGAGGGATAAATACCAGGGAGGGAGAGGAGTTAAGTTCAGTGCCAGCGTGGACACAAGAACAAATGGCTATAAAGTGGCCACCAACAAGGTTAGGTTTTTTGCCCTCACTGCTCCCCTTGGAAGGCTGTTCCAAAACTTCACTCCTCTGATGGTTAGAAACTTTTGTCTAATTTCAAGCCTAACTGGCTTCAAGACCGAGCCTGATAGATGGAGGGAGTGACTGCAAGTAGCAAAAATCCCCAACTGCTGAAGATGGGACACTAGATGGGGAGGGCTCTGAGTTACCACAGAGAATTCTTTCCCAGGTATCTTCCTGGTGGGTCTTTCCCACATGCTCAGGGTCTAACTGATCACCATATTTGGAGTTGGGAAGGAATTTTCCCCCAGGTCAGATTGGCTGAGACCCTGGAGTTTTTTTGCCTTCCTCTGCAGCCTGGGGCACAGATCACTTGCAGGTTTAAACTAGAGTAAATGGTGGATTCTCTGTAACTTGAAGTCTTTAAACCATGATTTGAGGACTTCAGTAACTTGGTCATGGGTCTATCTGAGGAGCGTATGGGTGAGGTTCTGTGGCCTACAATGCGTAGGAGGTCTAGATGATCACCGTTCTGACCTTAAAGTCTATGAGAATCATGTTACTCCTTTGCACTGTGATTAACTATCACAATCTGTTACAACCCTGAGAGCTCATCACGTACTATTTGTGCAAATTTTTTTAAAATGTTTGTCACTAAGGTACAGCTTTTTACATAGAAAGAAGTACTGTAAATAAAAGCGTACTGAACATACTGCACTGACATATGTGTTGTTTGCACGGCTACTTGCCACAGCAGCCTGGGGAGGCTTTCCTCTGAGCACTCTCTCATTTCAAATATATTAGAAAATAGGAGAATCAGATAATCTTAGGTTTGGCTATTCAATGTTCAAACAAAAGGGGAAAAAAACACCAAGAACACTTTTGAATTGTCCATGTTGCCTATTTATCACTTAATACTGCAGATATACCTTAGTGATTGTTCTTGAAAATGGAGTTGATTAACAGAAGTCAGAAAAAACAGCTTGAAAATATAAACTGTGTTTGCATTCACTAACCTTTTAACCACTTGTCTGCTGCAGCAAGCATTGCATCTTGCTGGGTCTTGTAGAACTCCACTACCCTGGAGACCAACAATTCAAAATTTTGTATAGATATAGAGAAAGATCGCCCTACCTCCCATCTGAGCTAAATCCACAAATCGTTAGGTATAAATAACTTTATATAACTGTCATATGCCTATTACAGAACTGTGCAGATTATGTTATGCTGCCCAGTGCTGTGAGACCTTCAGGTAACAGATCCTAATATTGTTCCAGTTCCCTGTGATGCTGGTAAACCAGGTGCCAGCTCTTGCCAAGTTTGTAGGTGTCAGCTGAGCACCGACAAACTCATAGCTGGAAACCAAACCCTTTTACCTGTTTGCTAGTTTTGTTCAAAATAGGTATTAGTCTTATAAGAATGTATTTAGTGTTTAGACTCTATGAAATGCCTGTAAGTGGCTGCATGCATTAATCTCAGTTGTAATATTCATATCCTATGCTATAAGGAAATAGATAAGTTTGCTTTATAATTTTGAAAATGTTTGCTCTGAACTTGTGAACCTATGCATGGGAATCATCCCCCCCATACCCATACCCATTCAGGAGGCCTGTGAAGATTAAACTGGCCATTAAGGAACATCACAATACAAAGGATTTGGGGGTGGCTCTATCACACCTTGGAACTGCTACATGCAAAGGAGCTAGCTCATGGGCTGGAAGGCTAAGTGTAAAAGATAAAAGAGGGTCACAAGAAAATTTTTCATTCTTTGCTGTTTGAACACACAGGGCCAGGGACATTAAACTCAGGCAGAGATCCCTTGGGGCTATCCCTGGGTCTGCCCTGAAAGACATTTTGAATTGACAGATTAGTACAGCTCTGTGATCTTGAGGAACCATAGATGGCAACTCATTTGTGTATATGTTTGCTTGCTTTAACCTGTAAATAACTCTTATTTTTTCCCCCTAGTTAATGAACCTTTAGGATTGGCTATAGGTAAGGCAACCATTATGTCATGCAGGTTGCAGAAGTCACAGAATCTGTGACTTCTGGAGACCTCGGTGTCATTGGGGCACCACAGCAGCCCAGCCACGATAGTAGCAGTCAATCCTCTAGCAGCAGCCCATCCGCCATGGGTGGAAGGGTGCCCCCGGAACTGACCAGCTGCCACTGGCGGGGCCCCCCCCAAGCTTCCCAATTGCTGCGGGCAGTGGAGGGACTCCGGCAGCTCTCAGCTGCCACAGGTGGTGGGATGCCCCCAGCTCCCAGCCTTGCAGGGCAGTGGGGGGACCCTGGAACTCCCCAGCTGCCGTGGGCCCTGCCCCGCCCCCCCCCCCCCCAGCTCCGTGGGCAGACCCTGGCAGCAGCTTAGCCGCTGATGTCAGCAGGCTCCCTCTTAGCCCTGCAGGGTGGTGGGGGATCTCCCTCCAGCTCCCAGCCACTGGGCAGGGGGCTGCAGCTCCCAGCCGCTGCATGCAGCAGGGCAGTGTGCTGGAACCTCATTTTGTTAGGGATGTTTTTAGTAAAAGTCAAGGACAGGTCACAGTTTCTGTGAATTTTTGTTTACAGCCCTGACCTGTCCATGACAAAATTGTAGCCTTAGCTATAGGCATTGTTTTTGGTGTGAGATCTAAGGTACAAATTGATCTGAGGTAAGTGACTGGGAGCAACCTGAATATTTTGTGTGTTTGTGTGTGTGTCAGTGACCATTTAACACTACGTCCACCTTGTTTGGGTGGCAAGATAGACTAGAGAGCCCGAAGGGACTGTCTGTGACCCCATGTTATAGTGATCCAGTTCACATTTGTTACTGGGTTGGTGAAATCTAATTATAGAACATACCACTAGTTTGGGGTGTCTGTGCTGTTTTTGACAGTCTGCTCTAAGGCAGGCACTCACGATTGTGAGTCCCTCCAGACAACGTGACATTCCCTTAAACATTATACTCAGAGACATGACAGTAATTAAAAGAGAACCAAACCCCCACAATATAGTATATAGAATATAAGTGCATTACCTGTCTACATGTTCCAGGAAACCCTTTTCTCCCCACTGCTGAAGAAGCTGTGCAATCATAAGCTACAGAAATAAAACCTACACAGTAAATCCCATTCTTTAAACAGGATAGTCAACCACCAAACAAAAGCTTTTAAAAAATTATATTGATATTAAACATCCTGCAAGGGCAGAGGTCACGTCCTTGGACTCCTGGAGCCATCTCTTCCTTCACCTTCAAACCTCTTGATAATACAAAAAGTCCACCAGGAAACAGGCAAAGGGCCATTAGGAAGCTACAGCAGTCCCATGGGGAAATGGAAATATTAGGGAGTCTGAAGGAAAGAGGAATGGATAGGGGAAGACAAATATGGGAATTTGGGAAGGAAAGGGTGGGAAACATATACAGCTTTGAATTAAATACATGTTTATTTCCTTTATTAGTCTCCCACTTTTATTCTATCTCCATGGTGAAATGGAGGAGCTGAATAGAGGGTTGGGAGTGCTAATTTAAGCTCTGGACAGAACTTCAGAGCTGACTGATAGCGGGGAGGGCAGGGCTCAGGAATGGGTCAATGATGATCTAGTAGGTGGGGGAGGGAGGAGGATATATTTCATTCTACCCTAACTCACCCTTTGAGCACTGTCTGGAAGGGAAGGGGAAGTAGATAGCAGGCTACTTACACAGCACCAGCAGGGTTCACCAGCTCGCCACACTGCCCTACAAACACTGCACCAAATAAAAATTCCAAATCCTCTCCATTTATTCTGCTGCTCTTCAGGGTGGGATTTTCAAAGGAGCTTGAGGCCATTGAGCACACAACTCCCGTTAACTTAACTCTGTTAAGCCTCAATAACCTATTACATAAAAGTAAAGGGTGTCCTGTATATGGAGCCATGCTGTTTCATATCTAATAGAACACCCTCCAGACAAACCTTGATCTTCCTCCTTGCGTTGTTCTTTCTTCTCTTGGAAAAATTTGTAATATAAATTTTCCTGAAAAGCATGCTGAAAAAAATGGCTAGGGGTTATAAAAGCCCTTTTGCCCCTCTTCCCAGTTACCATGTTTGAGAAACCATTTTATTTTTATAAACAATTCCGGCAACACCTTCCCAATTCTCGGAGATGGCACTTGCCTGCGTGAAAGTGCTGGTGTGCATTGTTGAGACCTGTATATGCAGAATCACTCGGTCAATAAGAGGTTTGGGGCCTGTTAAAAAGCCTATTCTCAACCTAGGGGAAAAGAAGAAGAACATTACTGTAGAAATATACAGTCCGCTAATCCTTGAATATGGCTATCATCCAAACATCAACTATGGAAAACTGGAACCTTAATGGATCTGCTCCCTGTGTGTATTCAGAGTCACATCTGCTAATTCGAGTTGAACGGGAAGAGACTGGCTTAATAATCATGAGATTATTTTTTAAAAATGTTCTTTGGTTATTTCAATTTGCCTTGTAGTTTCTGCGCTTTTAGGGCATACATGGGTCATATTTTTAAATTTTTTTCTGCAATCGTAATGGCTAGGGAAAAAAAACAAGCCGAGATTCTCACATCACCACAAGTTTACAAGAGCGAGTCTATCAAATACCAAATCGCGTGAAGTTTGCAACACAGTGTTTACTATATTTACTTCCATTTAGTACTGCTAGTAAATAAAGAGAAGAGAATGAACAGGATTGTTTTTGTGTTCATGCACTAAAAGAAGCTTTATTCATATTGTCAAAAACTAAATGACTCCCTGCTTGACTCTGATTCCAGGTCGAATTTGCAGTTAGAGGAAAATAAATGGAGTAAGTTTACATATGTCTCTGAATGACAAAGATGGAGCTACATGATATCATTTTTTGTAGGGTCATTTTTCAAAGTGAAACCATATTTCCATCATATTACCTTCTTTCTTTATTTCACTAGATTCTCACGGAGAGCTCACAACTCACTAACTGCGAGGCGAGGATTCATGCTGCTTGCTAAGATTCATTAAAAGTAATGTACACTAGAGCCAGAAAATCAGGACGTGGAGAGCAGACTTGCAAGTCCTCAGCAAAAGATGGTGGCTGAAGGAAAGGTGTAAAGCTAGAAGAGAAGGTGCCCAGGGAAAGAGCCCTGTTATTCCTTGTGGACTGTAGGAGAGAGGCCGACAACATGCCAAAAAAGTTCTGAAGGAATGGTCAGGTAGGGAGAGAAGCCAGTGTTATGAAAGCCAAGGGAGGCGAGAACATCAAGAACCAGAGAGGAGGAGTCTAATGCCCCCATCATGGCCCTCTAGTTTGGGAAAACTGAGGGCAGGTTGTGTGTAAGGACAGGCTGTCATAGGAGACAGAGGCTGCAGTGGCCATCAGAAGGGGAGTAGGCTCCGGTGACCATGTATTAATGACTCTGTGTTTGTACAGTGCCTAGCAGAGCACTCCACTCTCAGTTGGGCCCTAGGCCCTACCACAATAAACATGATTAATAGGTGACTGCCAGGACATGGAGGGAGTGGGAAATGAGCAGGTTGTGAACAGTTGAAGATCTCAGTGCACTTTGCAACAGTGGGCAGCTCACTATTCGCATATTATAGATGGGAAAACCAAGGCACAGAGAGGCTGAGTAACTTGCCTAAAGTCACAAAGTGAAGGTGCAAACTCAGGACTAGAATCCCATGTCTCTTGACTCAGCAGCCTGTGCTAACCAGCAGGCAACAGTCTGAAACAGACCTTACCCAGAGGAGAGAATTTTAGAGAAAGAGTCAGTCCTGATAACTCGACCATCGACATCCATGGAGAGGAAGGTTGGAGCCCAAGGCTTGAAAGAAAAGAATGAGAGTTTAAAGTTCAAGTAGCTAATAAGGCTTACACTAAGATACACTTTACTTATTACTAACACAGACTTCAGTATTTCTTGACCCAAGGGCTGATGTATCATATGATAAAATCCTGGTTTTGGAGATGCACAACAAGTATCAAAGTCCAGTACCTGAGTGACAAATGATTCTGTTTCTCTGAGTGACAAATGATTCTCTATTGTGGTGCGATGATAGTGTCACCTGAATGTCAGGAAAGAGTCAATCAGAAATTCCTTTACCTCTAACCCCATGTCTCTGCACACAAATGGTAGGTGCTGGAGTTTCTACCTGGAACTATGATAGGAGGTCAGAGCCAAATACCTAGCTCTCTGTAAAAATACTTTTACTGAGTGGAGGGGAAAATGTTCTTTAATGTTTTCCCTCAGAGGTGCTCCTCAGCTTGCAGTTTCCCTTTAGGAGAAACTGGAGGACATCCCTCAGAATTGGGGATTTGGTAATACCACCCTCCTGAGTTCAGCACATATTCTAATTCCCAGAGCAGAAGTTCGGCTACTATATTGACAACTTCTTCATGCTCAAATGCTTATAAGAGTTCCACGCAGGCATTCAGTTCTGCTAGCCCAAGTAAACCAGACTTCTCCTCACCCCCGAAAAGGAAGGGGAGAACCTTGTTGCAGAAAGAAAAATATTAAGCTGTACTCATTCCATTGACGTACTCAGCAGCCATTAGCTACTAAGGGAGGGGTGTTACTCCCTGTAAAAGCTGATCTTAATCCGGAAGTTATGAACTTAAGTGAGGGCCAAGTCACTGCCCCCACCCAGATCCATGTATGGAGGAGACTCTGCAAGTGTGGATCTGAGCACCCTCCCCCTCCCACTGGTGTGTAAGGGAGGGTGTCAGTTGCCTCTGTGGCACTATTCTCCCTATTCCTGAGACCAATCTCCATGGATTGAGATCTGCACAAGGAGAAGGGGTGGACTGCATTGGATGAAGGCAGAGATTAGAAAGAAAAGGCAATACAGCCTGTATTACTTCTCCCATGCCTTGCACTCCACTCCCTCTGCAATGGAATGCCCTTTTAAGGGGTATATGTGTCAGTTCCTGAGGCAGCCCTGGCTCGGAGGCGTCCCTGCAAGCACAGCCCCAATGGAATCAATGGGAATTTTCCTCACTTAAAAACTGACGAATTTGACGCACTGGAATTGACAAGGACTGATGCAACATGATGGCTGAAGAGGCATGTAATTAAAAATTTCACGACTGAGTGTTTACTAGTAATGCTTTAATTTAATCGGACAGTCTACTAAGTACGAGTAGCATGTAGTTTGAGCCACAATTGTCCAAGCATTCATTCTCTTCTGAACCCAAAGGAATATTGATACCAATTAGTACAAATGACAACTTACTTTACCAAACTGAAGAAAATAATAAGGATCATCTTCTATTACGAGGAAATTATATTGTCTTGCAAGCTAAAAAAGAAATTAAAACCAAAAATGTAAAGGTTTATTGAAATGTAATAAAAATAGTCCCTATATAATCCCAGTTATTTATATTCATTGCCCTGTACGCTGCATATTCAGCTGATTCAACACACAAACATCACATCAAGAGTCAACTTCAAATGCTAAATTTAGCAAGTCATGTAACTGTAAAAGTACGTCAACTGGTAAAATAGCAGCTGTAATTGGGCCAAATTTTGAAAAACTGAGGCCTGGGTTCCATGTGCAATAATGTGCCTATATTTGTGAGCATGGTTTGGACTGCTGCATATAGAAAAAGTATGTGTTTCTCACTTACCAGTTTGAATGGCAATTTTGGACACATTTGTATGCATGGACCTGAGATCTCATGCTTTTAATAAATGGCATTTTGAATATTTTTTCCAGCCAGGTGGTTACTTAGCATGTTAGCTTAACTGATTTCTATGTAATTTTCTTAAAAAAAAAAAAAAAATGCACTGAGTGCAAGGTTTATATCATACATTTTATTTCCTTGTTATAGAGAACTGCACTTCCAAAATGGGGAGTAGTAAAAATTGCCCTGCATCCCTATGGACACATGATCCTGACAGCTACCTTCATTGTGTTGTCAATGAGCACATCTGCCTCCTGTGTCCCTTGCAGTTCTAAGGGGTGGCTTCTACTTCTATCTCATTAGATAGAGTTGGTTTTTTCCTTGCCAGAACTTCTCTTTAGGCTTGTACCAGGGCCCAGTGAGTAAACACAACACACAAGTCAGCACAATGGTTGGTATAGCTACAAAGGACTATAATTTATTATACCTTACTCACTAGATCACCAAATCATGCAGGAAAACCAAGAAGGGAGGACCTGGGAGAAGTGGCAGGGCAGACAAGAGGTTGATATAGTAATGGGGAATGAGATTTTTAGCAACATTTGCTATTCAGTTGCTTACAAGATGTGCTGGTTTTGCAGTGGAATTCCTCAAACTGAAAACCCCACATTTGTCCGTTCCTAAATGAAAGCTGTTATGCCAGGCTCTCACTGCATACCTGATATATCTCCTTTTTGCGGTCAGTAGTCAATGAGGTTCCAGTGGGATTGCTACCATTTGGAATGGTGTACAGGAATTTGGGGATGTTGTTGTGCTTTCTGACATCTTCTGGGCTCCATCTGGAAAGAATTTCTTTCAGGGCTTTTGGAATAATACCATGTTGGTCACTGGGAACATTGATTATGTTGCAACCCAAAGGTCTTAGCTATTTATTTTGGGGGAGGGGGGAGGGAGAAACAAACAAAATAGGAGACAAATCTCAGTCACTGAGTCTATAATTCTGAAATTATGATTATGTCTCTGACGTTACAGAACTTCAGCAGTGCAGTATCTTCCCTTAAATCTAGATTGAACTAGATAGTTATAAACGAGTTGCATTGATTTCAAACTTGCTTAGCTCATGATTCAAGGGAAAGTGTCTCTGAACACGTTGTATAACCCTCAGAACGTAATTTGACCCAATCACCTTGTGCTCCCAATATTTAAAACCAGTTATATAAACTCTGATAAGGAACAAGATTGGTCCAAGATAAACTATTACTACATGCCTGCCTATCAGGCACATGGCATCACATCTGTGGAGCCCAGGAGTTCGTTGTGGATTGTATTACAGTGGGATCCCTCATATTTCAACACTCCAATGCAAAAATACAGATAAGCTTCAGGTCTCTCAACAGTGCAATTTCATTTTTTATTCATAATCAGAAATGCAGGTTTAGTTGAACTGACAGAACTATAACTTGCTCTCCCCTGACAAAGGGAGGAAGAATAACTGCTCTGAACGGGTATTATATTCAGCAATGGGACTGAGATTTCAGTAATGTTAATGAGTGACATGGGACAATAGCCATGTGTGAAGTAATAGCAAAAATTAACAAAAGTCCCTGTAGTTTTATTTCTGTGGAATTTCTATCTTTGTACTACTTAGCCCTGTATTTATTATGTTATAAACAAACTGCTGCTGAAACGACAATACCCTCAATATATGGTCCCATTGCATAATCAAAAGGTATGTCAAAAATATAGTGTACCAAAAAATATTACCCAGGTGTCAGCCAAATATTGAGTAAGATAGGATTTATTCCAGCATTTCTCCCAATCTGTAACTATTACGCATTAAAGGGCTGTATTTAATTGCACAGGGTGCATATTACTGCACAAAAACTAGTGTCATTTAAGAGTTATCTCTCTGACTTGCTCTCACTGTCTCATATCCTGGGAGCTCACCTGCATACATCTTCTAGGCCCCTCCCCATTTTATCCTATTATAGGCACAGAATACTAAATCGGGTCATTAAATCATTAAGAGACAGGCACACCCAGAACCTAAAATAGGAGGAATCTCACTGATCATGCACTTGCATTTAGACTGACTTTATCAGAAAGATCTCATTTCTACTGTGATTCTATATAGAAACCTAGGGTTAGGGTGAACTAGGCTCCAGAACAAAACATTGTGTACTGGGACAAACATTTGCAGAGTGTCTAAATTAGCATTTACAACTGTATTAGTTCACCAATGCCAACCAATTTAAGTCAGAAGAGGCTCAAAAACTCTAGTCTGGATGAGATCTTAGATGCATTTAGCAATAGTGAGGCAGCTCATATGTCTTAAGAATGTAGATTTGTGTCCCAAAGTGATGATCATTGTAACTTTCACAACTTTTCATACCAAAACACTACTCACAGCTGCTAGAGTCCCAGGATAGGTGGGTGCATCCAAAAGGATGTTGTCTCCAGGGTTAATAAGCATCTCAAACACCTACAAAATGGGAATCATTTACTTGACAAGACTGTATAATTTTACTGTACATTCTGCATACTGCTGCCTGCTCTAATGGAACTACACATCCTAATTACACATCAGTGTTTCCATCATCATTTAATTAAATGAAAACTCTGCTACGTAAACAGTGAATGGATTTAAGTTCCACTTTGGAAGCCAAACAGAGAGATACAAGTCAGAGGAGAAGAATGCCAGTTTCACACAGGACAACTCTGTCTTCTGGGAAAAAAAATACTAACATTTAACACAATATTCTAACAAAATACAAAAGTTTTTCAGTTATAGAAAGGGTCAACTGTGTGTGTGTGTGTGTGTGAGAGAGAGAGAGAGATCAGCCAATTGAAAACCAACTTACGCAGAACAATATCTAACAAAAACATCTTATTGCACAATAAAAACTACAGTACAGCAACCGACTCTGATTTGATTGCACCACTACATTCCACTACAGGATTCTTAAAAGCATTTGCTATAGAATTATGAAAGTAAATGGAATAAAATGTCTTATGATATTCTCTCTCTTCGATAATAAAGATCCTAGACATTTGTGTCACCACGGAAGACCACTGGAATCTGACAAAGTTTTGTCCCAACTTCCATTTACTTTCTCAGATATGGCATTTAATATATCATTTCATTTACAAGCCACCCTTACTAACTGTAATCAGAGAGTAGGCATGCCTTTCCTATGCAAGGAAATAAAATTCAAGTGATTGAAAGCAAACATCTATTTAAAGCAACAAGTAATTACATTTTACAGAAGCCACAATGTATTCTGCTTTTAGTCTTACTTTGCACAACCCTTCCTGGCTGCCAGTGGTCACACATATCTCCATTTGGCCCTGATCAGGACTGTACTTGGCAGTGGGAGGATTGTGGAGACTCTTCTGTAAATCCTTTAGCCAGGACAACAACTCAGGAATTCTGAAACACAGATTTTATTTCTCATCATTATTATCCTAATATTCTGTACTGCTCCTTTAAATCCCCCTCAAATATATTGCCACCCAAATTGTCTGTTTCTCTTTCTCTGTTATTTAGCAATACAGGTAGGTATAGGCACTGGTTTAAAATATTTTCTCTCAGATAATGAAATGAGAGAAACATAATACTGCGTGTAGGTGTGTATTTAAGATAAAAAGTCCTTAGGGACCAGTGTCTATAATACAATAAACAGTTGACAGCCTTTGCAGAGAGATTATCAACAAAAGACTGAATGGGCACGGAGGCTGAATTTCTCATGCATCAAAGTGATCCTTTCAGATCCAGGTATGGCAGGTGTGACTTGTATGGCCTCTGTCTGTAGCTAGAGGTGTGTGAATAAATGACTTTTTTTGTTTTAGTTTGCTGGATGAACCAAAAAAGTTGAAAAAAAAATTTGTTTTGGCTCAAACAAATTTTCATTTTGTTTGAGTTTTTTTAATCCTTTCAAACTAAAACTGAAGCAACATTTGAAACAAAAAGTTGTTTCAAATCAAAACGTTTCATTTAAAAAATGTCAGTGAAACATTTTGATTTTTTTCAGAATTTTTTGTTTTGGACTGAAACACTTAAGCAAATTCATAAGATGTTTTAGTTAACCTGAATCTATGCTTTAGGGGAGAAAAAAAAAGTTTTGTTTGAAAATCTTTGCCCAGGTCTACCTGTAGCATACTTTATGCAAACTAAGGGCCAGATTTCTAAAGGCATTTAGGTGCCTAGTGGGATTTTTAAAAGCACCTAGATGCCTAATTCTCAGGGGCGCACCTAGGTAGTTTTGAAAATCCCACCAGGCACCTTACAGCACCTAAATACCTTTAAAAATGTGGCACTAACTCCCTATTGCATTCAATCAGGGCCGATACATAAATACAAAACTGGAGGGGCAGGGAGGAACAACACAAGTGGAAAAATAGCTTGGCATCTGAAAATAAATCAAAACAGTTAATGGATTTCAAGATTCTATAAAAAGCTGCTTTGCTGCTCAGCACAGCAATGTTCTGAAGAGGAACTTGCAAATCTTGTGATGGTAGATACCATTTCAGCAAAGTGACATCACACAGCAGCACAGGGACCCCAATATAAAGGACGGTACATGAGTTTTCATTCTGCTCTGAAAAAGGACTTCAATATTAGGCAAAATTAAAAAATCTAGTATTTCTAGAGCAGAACAATCTCATGACAGCAAAAACAGCTAAACAATATTCTTGAGCCAGTTGTAAAATTTCTTATTATGATGTACCCATAACTCTTAGTATCACAACTAGTCCCTTTTCAACAAGACAACTATCTCTTCAGTGGTAGTCTCACAAATACTAGCTTTCTGTTTAACACTTTATACAGGGGGCACTGTCAATAGACCACTGTCATTGCAGAGCAGTGCATATTACATTACATAAATAAAGAACCAATACTGTTATTTTAACACCCTTACAGTGCATGCCACTAAAACAAGCCACGTTTTCTGCATGATGACATTTGAGTTTACTGTGATATCTGCAGTATTTCCTGTACTAACAGTGGCAAATATCAGAGTTAATTTAACTACCCCAGACAGTAAGTGGTGTTTTTTCAATGGTATAAACATGAGCCAAAGAAATCCGGATTCGGGGCGATATAAAGAAAATGCTTTGCAAGCTGTGTACTTTGGGCATGGCTACACTGACAGATGTAGAGCGCTTTGAGTTAAACCAGCCTTCGTAGAGTGCAGTAGGGAAAGCGCTGCAGTCTGTCCACACTGACAGCTTCAAGTGCACTGGTGTGGCCACATTTGCGGCACTTGCAGTGGCATTGGGAGCGGTGCATTATGGGCAGCTATCCCAGCATGCAAGTGGCTGCAACGTACTTTTCAAATGGGGGTGGGGTGGGGTGGAGTGTGACAGGAAGTGTGTTGTGTGTATGTGGGGGGAGAGAGAGTGGGTTTTTGGGGGGCTGAGAGCATGTCAGCATGCTGTCCTGTAAGTTCAGACAGCAGCAGACCCCCCTCGCCTCCCCGTCTCTCTCTCTCTCTCTCTCTCACACAGCATTCCACACTAATGGTTGCTTTGTCTTGAAGCAGATAAGCAGCTGGCTGTCAGAAATGGAGCTTTCAAAAGGCATTTCCACATTCCTACAGATGATTCCAAACAATGACAAGAGTGGCCACTTGACTTAAAGGGATTATGGGATGTTTCCGGAGGCTGATCAGAGCGCAGTAAAGCAACATCTCGTTCACACTGGTGCTGCGGCGCTCCAAAGAGGGTGCAGCAAACGTTATTCCACTCGCCGAGGTGGAGTACCAGCAGTGCTGTAGCTGTGGAGTCAGAGCGCTCTACGTGCCTTGCCAGTGTGGATGGGTAGTGAGCCCGGGGCTCCTTTATTGTGCTGTAACTCGCAAGTGTAGCCAAGCCCTTTGATATGCTGAATACCGTGCTGCAACACACTGGACACTCTCAGCCCTGGTCTACACTAGGACTTTAGGTCGAATTTAGCAGCGTTAAATCGATGTAAACCTGCACCTGTCCACACAATGAAGCCCTTTATTTCGACTTAAAGGGCTCTTAAAATCGATTTCCTTACTCCACCCCTGACAAGTGGATTAGCGCTTAAATCGACCTTGCCGGCTCGAATTTGGGGTACTGTGGACACAGAGTGCTATCCCAGAGTGCTCCATTGTGACCGCTCTGGACAGCACTCTCAACTCAGATGCACTGGCCAGGTAGACAGGAAAAGAACCGCGAACTTTTGAATCTCATTTCCTGTTTGGCCAGCGTGGCAAGCTGCAGGTGACCATGCAGAGCTCATCAGCACAGGTGACCATGATGGAGTCCCAGAATCGCAAAAGAGCTCCAGCATGGACCGAACGGGAGGTACGGGATCTGATCGCTGTTTGGGGAGAGGAATCCGTGCTATCAGAACTCCGTTCCAGTTTTCGAAATGCCAAAATCTTTGTCAAAATCTCCCAGGGCATGAAGGACAGAGGCCATAACAGGGACCCGAAGCAGTGCCGCGTGAAACTGAAGGAGCTGAGGCAAGCCTACCAGAAAACCAGAGAGGCGAACGGCCGCTCCGGGTCAGAGCCCCAAACATGCCGCTTCTATGATGAGCTGCATGCCATTTTAGGGGGTTCAGCCACCACTACCCCAGCCGTGTTGTTTGACTCCTTCAATGGAGATGGAGGCAATACGGAAGCAGGTTTTGGGGACGAAGAAGATGATGATGAGGTTGTAGATAGCTCACAGCAAGCAAGCGGAGAAACCGGTTTTCCCAACAGCCAGGAACTGTTTCTCACCCTGGACCTGGAGCCAGTACCCCCCGAACCCACCCAAGGCTGCCTCCTGGACCCAGCAGGCAGAGAAGGGACCTCTGGTGAGTGTACCTTTTAAAATACTATACATGGTTTAAAAGCAAGCATGTGAAAAGATTACTTTGCCCTGGCATTCGCGGTTCTCCTAAATGTACTCCTAAAGCCTTTGCAAAAGGTTTCTGGGGAGGGCAGCCTTATTGCGTCCTTCATGGTAGGACACTTTACCACTCCAGGCCAATAACACGTACTCGGGAATCATTGTAGAACAAAGCATTGCAGTGTATGTTTGCTGGCATTCAAACAACATCCTTTATCTCTCTGTGTTATCCTCAGGAGAGTGAGATATAATTCATGGTCACCTGGTTGAAATAGGGTGCTTTTCTTCAGGGGACACTCAGAGGAGCCCATTCCTGCTGGGCTGTTTGCCTGTGGCTAAACAGAAATGTTCCCCGCTGTTAGCCACAGAGAGGGGGGAAGGTTGAGGGGGTAGCCACACGGTGGGGGGAGGCAAAATGCGACCTTGTAACGAAAGCACATGTGCTATGTATGTAATGTTAACAGCAAGGATTACCCTGAAAGAGTGTAGCCACTGTTTTATAAAATGTGTCTTTTTAAATACCGCTGTCCCTTTTTTTTTCTCCACCAGCTGCATGTGTTTCAATGATCACAGGATCTTCTCCTTCCCAGAGGCGAGTGAAGCTTAGAAAGAAAAAAAACCGCACTCGTGATGAAATGTTCTCCGAGCTCATGCTGTCCTCCCACACTGACAGAGCACAGACGAATGCGTGGAGGCAAATAATGTCAGAGTGCAGGAAAGCACAAAATGACCGGGAGGAGAGGTGGCGGGCTGAAGAGAGTAAGTGGCGGGCTGAAGAGAGGGCTGAAGCTCAAATGTGGCGGCAGCGTGATGAGAGGAGGCAGGATTCAATGCTGAGGCTGCTGCAGGACCAAACCAGTATGCTCCAGTGTATGGCTGAGCTGCAGGAAAGGCAGCTGGAGCACAGACTGCCACTGCTGCCCCTCTGTAACCAACCGCCCTCCTCCCAAAGTTCCATAGCCTCCACACCCAGACGCCCAAGAACGCGGTGGGGGGGCCTCCGGCCAACCAGCCACCCCACCACAGAGGGTTGCCCAAAAAAAAGAAGGCTGTCATTCAATAAATTTTAAAGTTGTAAACTTTTAAAGTGCTGTGCTTAAAGTGCTGTGTGGCATTTTCCTTCCCTCCTCCACCACCCCTCCTGGGCTACCTTGGTAGTCATCCCCCTATTTGTGTGATGAATGAATAAAGAATGCATAAATGTGAAGCAACAATGACTTTATTGCCTCTGCAAGCGGTGATTGAAGGGAGGAGGGGCGGGTGGTTAGCTTACAGGGAAGTAGAGTGAACCAAGGGGCGGGGGGTTTCATCAAGGAGAAACAAACAGAACTTTCACACCGTAGCCTGGCCAGTCATGAAACTGGTTTTCAAAGCTTCTCTGATGCGTACCGCGCCCTCCTGTGCTCTTCTAACCGCCCTGGTGTCTGGCTGCGCGTAACCAGCAGCCAGGTGATTTGCCTCAACCTCCCACCCCGCCATAAACGTCTCCCCCTTACTCTCACAGATATGGTGGAGCACGCAGCAAGCAGTAATAACAGTGGGAATATTGGTTTCGCTGAGGTCTAAGCGAGTCAGTAAACTGCACCAGCGTGCCTTTAAACGTCCAAATGCACATTCTACCACCATTCTGCACTTGCTCAGCCTATAGTTGAACAGCTCTTGAGTACTGTCCAGGCTGCCTGTGTACGGCTTCATGAGCCATGGCATTAAGGGATAGGCTGGGTCCCCAAGGATACATATAGGCATTTCAACATCCCCAACAGTTATTTTCTGGTCTGGGAATAAAGTCCCTTCCTGCAGCTTTTGAAACAGAGCAGAGTTCCTGAAGATGCGAGCGTCATGTACCTTTCCCAGCCATCCCACGTTGATGTTGGTGAAACGTCCCTTGTGATCCACCAGAGCTTGCAGCACTATCGAAAAGTACCCCTTGCGGTTTATGTACTCGCCGGCTTGGTGCTCCGGTGCCAAGATAGGGATATGGGTTTCGTCTATGGCCTCACCACAGTTAGGGAATCCCATTGCAGCAAAGCCATCCACTATGACCTGCACATTTCCCAGGGTCACTACCCTTGATATCAGCAGATCTTTGATTGCGTGGGCTACTTGCATCACAGCAGCCCCCACAGTAGATTTGCCCACTCCAAATTGATTCCCAACTGACCGGTAGCTGTCTGGCGTTGCAAGCTTCCACAGGGCTATCACCACTCGCTTCTCAACTGTGAGGGCTGCTCTCATCTTGGTATTCATGCGCCTCAGGGCAGGGGAAAGCAAGTCACAAAGTTCCATGAAAGTGCCCTTACGCATGCGAAAGTTTCGCAGCCACTGGGAATCGTCCCAGACCTGCAACACTATGCGGTCCCACCAGTCTGTGCTTGTTTCCCGAGCCCAGAATCGGCGTTCCACAGCATGAACCTGCCCCATTAGCACCATGATGCATGCATTGGCAGGGCCCATGCTTTCAGAGAAATCTGTGTCCATGTCCTGATCACTCACGTGACCGCGCTGACGTCGCCTCCTCGCCCGGTATCGCTTTGCCAGGTTCCGGTGCTGCATATACTGCTGGATAATGCGTGTGGTGTTTAATGTGCTCCTAATTGCCAAAGTGAGCTGAGCGGCCTCCACGCTTGCCTTGGTATGGCGTCCGCACAGAAAAAAGGCGCGGAACGATTGTCTGCCGTTGCTCTGATGGAGGGAGGGGCGACTGACGACACGGCTTACAAGGTTGGCTTCAGGGAGCTAAAATCAACAAAGGGGGTGTCTTTACATCAAGGAGTATTTCAGGCAGGACTTCACGGAGGGTTCCAATAAGAAATGGTGCACCTAAGTTATTGTTCTTATTGGAACAAGGAGGTTAGCCTGGCCTCTGATTGATACATGGCTAGATTTACCTCGCTGCACCTTCTCTGTGAGTGACTGCAGTGTGACCTAGAGGAATGAGTCCCCTAGACAGGGGAGGAGGCAAATGAGTACAAAACAAATCTGGTCTATTTCTTGTTTTGATCCACTCCATCTATCTTTTACATCTTTGGCTGGCAGCAGACGGTGCAGAAGGACTGCATGCCATCCACATCTCATGGCTGCTCGGCAGAAGATGGTACAATACGACTGCTAGCAATCCGTATCGCCTGCCTGCTCACCATAAGAAGGTTCAATAGGACTGACTGCAGGACTAAAGAGAATGACCTGGTCAAGTCACTCCAAATTTAGTCCCTGCGCCCATGTCTGCCCAGGCGCTCCCAGCCGACGTGGCCAGGAGCACCTCGGACATGACGATGACGGCTACCAGTCGTATTGCACCGTCTGCTGCCACAAGGCAAGGGGTTGCTGCTACTGTGTAGCAAAGCCGTACCGCGTCTGCCAGCACCCAGGAGACATAGGGTGACGGTTACCTGAGCGGGCTCCATGCTTGCCGTAGTATGGCGTCTGCACAGGTAACTCAGGAAAAAAGACACGAAACGGTTGTCTGCCCTTGCTTTCACGGAGGGAGGGAGGGAGGGAGGGAACGGGGGCCTGACGATATGTACCCAGAACCACCCGCGACAATGTTTTAGCCCCATCAGGCATTGGGATCTCAACCCAGAATTCCAATGGGCAGCGGAGACTGCGGGAACTGTGAGATAGCTACCCACAGTGCAACGCTCCAGAAGTCGACTCTAGCCTCAGTACTGTGGAAGCACTCCGCCGAGTTAATGCACTTAATGCACTTAGAGCATTTTCTGTGGGGACACACACACTCGAATATATAAAACCGATTTCAAAAAAACCAACTTCTATAAATTCGACCTTATTCCGTAGTGTAGACATACCCTCACAGTTACTGACCCTGGACTCTGGCCTCTCCAATATTATTTGATGTTAATCAATAAACATCGGTACTTGTCAATGCATTCCTCCACTCACAAATCATTAGTCACTTACCACTTTTAAAAAAACATATACAGATGGGGAAAATTAAAAGCAATTAATAAAACATGTTTGTAAAGATCAACTATTAAAGCAGCAACTGTTATTTATTGTTATTCTTGTAAAGTGTCTTGATAAGTACCCTGCTGAGGGAGAGTACTGGAGGGCTCTCTTCATCAAATCCTCCCCAATATCCACAGCTGTTCCATCTCTCGTGGTAATAGTGGCCATCTTAAATGGGAAAGTGTTGGGGTTCGGTACTCCTCCAGCCAAGGAGATTAGTGAAGGGGGAGACTTCTGCATCATTTCAGCTACAGTGAAAGATGAGGAAGAAAACCTCCATTGCACATTAGCCTATTCAAGATATAACATTTCCCCTTCCCCCATCCATCCCTTCATTTCCTATATAATATTTAAAGGGGACCTGCAGAGGAAAAGTTAATGCAGATTTGTGCCTTTGTTGGATAATGCAGTCTTTTTAGATATCAGGCATGCCAACATTTATCATTTATTTTCTTGGCTGACTCAAAAATACATTGTGAGCTTTCTTGGCATTAACTGAACAGGCATGGATGGTGAATCTTTAACAAAGATAGCTTTCCTTCCAGCTGTTTGAATTACATAGGTGTAAAATGAAAAGTTTTAAATAGTCTGAGTAAAAATCACTTCCGCCTCCTATTAATCAGGTTTTAATTCTTTGATATCTGTGATATCTCAATCCTGCTTATTCTCTAGTTTTCAGTAGTGTAATCCAGCAGCACGGGGTATGCAAGACCAGAATTTTTACTGGAAAAATTGCAGGGAAAGCCACCTCCTCTTAAAATAAATAAATAAATAGTTTTTTTACTCCAGTCTGGATTGCTTTTCTAGTCATTAGAACAAGCTGTTTTTGTAACTATAATTAGTTTTTAAACTTTGAACACTGTCAAGGTTCCTTCCCCACTCTGAACTCTAGCGTACAGATATGGGGACCTGTATGAAAACCTCCTAAGCTTACTTTTACCAGCTTAGGTTAAAACTTCCCCAAGGTACAAACTATTTTACCCTTGGACTTCCACTGACACCACCAAACTTTATCTGGGTTCCTGAAAAAACGTAGTTTGGAAACGTCGTTTGGAAACAAAATCCTCCCAACCCTTGCACCCCACCTCCTGGGGAAGGTTTGGTAAAAATCCTCACCAATTTGCATAGGTGACCAGAGACCCAAACCCTTGGATCTTAGAACAATGAAAAAGCATTCAGTTTCCTTACAAGAAGATTTTTAATAGAAGTAAAAAGGAATCACCTCTGTAAAATCAGGATGGTAGATACCTTACAGGGTAATTAGATTCAAAACATAGAGAATCCCTCTAGGCAAAACCTTAAGTTACAAAAAAGACACACAGACAGGAATATTCATTCTATTCAGCACAGCTATTTTCTCAGCCATTTAAAGAAATCATAATCTAACACATACCTATCTAGATTACTTACTAAATTCTAAGACTCCATTCCGGCAAAAGCATCACACAGTCAGACACAGACCCTTTGTTTTTTTCCCTCCTCCCAGCTTTTGAAAGTCTCTTGTCTCCTCATTGGTCATTTTGGTCAGGTGCCAGCCAGGTTACCTTTAGCTTCTTAACCCTTTACAGGTGAGAGGATTTTTCCTCTCGCCAGGAGGGATTTTAAAGGGGTTTACCCTTCCCTTTATATTTATGACAAACACCTAATATCTTAATGCTCTACTTTGTGGGGGAAAAAGTTGACAACTCTTATTTTTGAAAGCAACACATTTAGTTTGTTTGTTTAATGTTTTCAAGACATACCACATAATGCTTCTGTTTATAAATTCAGAAGTTACCAAAATACCACTTGAAGCAGGTTTCTAAAGAGCAGCTAGAAAAACAAAGAAGATCTAAATTTTACCCAAGTTCATGCACGTAAAGCCCACTGAAGTGAAATGGCAACTGCCAGCCTACACCCCAGGGAAGAATTTGGCCCACAGTGAGGAGGTGATGGGATGTAGGCTAAAAGCAGTTACAAAAGGTGTATGTTTTTAGGCCCTTATTTTGCAACTGGCTCCATGTAGGCCTCAGCTGGAGGTACAGAAGCATTTTTTCCTGCCATATGGAACAATCAGCTATCAACAATAGCATGTATAGCAGTGGTTCTCAACCTTTCCAGACTACTGTACCTCTTTAAGAACATAAAAATGGCCATACTGGGTCAGACCAAAGGTCCATCCAGCCCAGTATCCTGTCTACCGACAGTGGCCAATGCCAGGTTTCCCCGAGGGAGTGAACCTAACAGGTAATGATCAAGTGATCTCTCTCCTGCCATCCATCTCCACCCTCTGACAAACAGAGGCTAGGGACACCATTCTTTACCCATCCCAGCTAATAGCCATTAATGGACTTAACCTCCATGAATTTATCCAGTCCTCTTTTAAATCCTGTTATAGTCCTAGCCTTCACAGCCTCTTCAGGCAAGGAGTTCCACAGGTTGACTGTGGGCTGTGTGAAGAAGAACTTTCTTTTACTTGTTTTAAACCTGCTGCCCATTAATTTCATTTGGGGGCCCCTACTTATATTACGGGAACAAGTAAATAACTTTTCCTTATTCACTTTCTCCACATCACTCATGATTTTATATACCTCTATCATATCCCCCCTTAGTCTCCTCTTTTCCAAGCTGAAAAGCCCTAGCCTCTTTAATCTCTCCTCATATGGGACCCGTTCCAAACTCCTAATCATTTTAGTTGCCCTTTTCTGAACCTTTTCTAATGCCAGTATATCTTTTTTGAGATGAGGGGACCTCATCTGTACACAGTATTCAAGATGTGGGCATACCATGGATTTATATAAGGTCAATAAGATATTCTCCGTCTTATTCTCTATCCCTGTTTTAATGATTCCTAACATCCCGTTTGCCTTTTTTAACTGCCGCTGCACACTGTGTGGATGTCTTTAGAGAACTCTCCATGATGACTCCAAGATCTTTTTTCTGATTAGTTGTAGCTAAAGTAGCCGCCATCATATTGTATGAATAGTTGGGGTTATTTTTTCCAATGTGCATTACTTTACATTTATTCACATTAAATTTCATTTGCCATTTTGTTGCCCAATCACTTAGTTTTGTGAGATCTTTTTGAAATTTCTTCACAGTCTGCTTTGGTCTTAACTATCTTGATCAGTTTAGTATCATCTGCAAACTTTGCCACCTCACTGTTTACCCCTTTCTCCAGATCATTTATAAATAAGTTGAATAGAATTGGTCCTAGGACTGACCCTTGGGGAACACCACTAGTTACCCCTCTCTATTTTGAAAGTACCATTTACTCCTACCCTTTGTTCCCTGTCTTTTAACCAGTTCTCAGTCCATGAAAGGATCTTCCCTCTTATCCCATGACAACTTAATTTACGTAAGAGCCTTTGGTGAGGGACCTTGTCAAAGTCTTTCTGGAAATCTAAGAACATTATGTCCACTGGATCCCCCTTGTCCACAAGTTTGTTGACCCTTCAAAGAACTCTAATAGATTAGTAAGACATGATTTCCCTTTACAGAAACAATGTTGACTTTTGCCCAACAATTTATGTTCTTCTACGCATCTGACAATTTTATTCTTTACTATTGTTTCAACTAATTTGCCCGGTACTGACGTTAGACTTACTGGTCTGTAATTGCCAGGATCACCTCTAGAGCCCTTTTAAAATATTGGCGTTACATTAGCTATCTTCCAGTCATTGGGTACAGAAGCGGATTTAAAGGACAGGTTACAAACCATAGTTAATAGTTCTGCAATTTCACATTTGAGTTCTTTCAGAACTCTTGGGTGAATGCCATCTGGTCGTGGTGACTTGTTACTGTTAAGTTTCTCAATTAATTCCAAAACCTCCTCTAGTGACACTTCAATCTGTGATAATTCAGGAGTCAGATTTGTCTTGCGTACCCCCAATCTCACCTCACTTAAAAACTACTTGCTTACAAAAATAGACATAAAAATACAAAAGTGTCACAGCACATTATTACTGAAAAATTGCTTATTCTCTCATTTTGTCTGTATGAAATTTTAGTCATAGAATCATAGGAGATTAGGGTTGGAAGAGACCTCAAGAGGTCATCTAGTCCAACCCGTGCTCAAAGCAGGACCAACACCAACTGAATCATCCCAGCCAGGGCTTTGTCATGCCAGGCCTTAAAAACCTCTGAGGATGGAGATTCCACCACCTCCCTAGGTAACCCATTTCAGTGCTTCACCACCCTCCTAGAGAAATAGTGTTTCCTAAAATCCAACCTAGACTTCCCACACTGCAGCTTGAGACCACTGCTCCTTGTTCTGTCATCTGCCACCACTGAGGACAGATGAGCTTCATCCTCTTTGGAACCCCGCTTCAGGTAGTTGAAGGCTGCTGTCAAATCCCCCTGTCCCCCACTCTTCTTTTCTGCAGACTAAACAAGCCCAGTTCCCTCAGCCTCATCCGTGCTGAATAGAGGGGAATAATCACTTCCCTCAATCTGCTGGCAATGCTCCTACTAATGCAGCCCAATATGCTGTTAGCCTTCTTGGCAACAAGGGCACACTGTTGACTCATATTCAGCTTCTCATCCACTGTAATCCCCAGGTCCTTTTCTGCAGAACAGCTGCTCAGCCAATCAGTCCCCAGCCTGTAGCAGTGCATGGGATTCTTCTGTCCTAAGTGCAGGACTCTGAACTTGTCCTTGTTGAACCTCATCAAATTTCTTTTGGTCCAATCCTTCAATTTGTCTAGGTCACTCTGGACCCTATCCCTACCCTCCAGCATATTTCTCTCTCCCCCCTGTTTAGTCATCTGCGAACTTGCTGAGGGTGCAATCCATCCCATCACCCAGATCATTAATAAATATGTTGAACAAAAACAACCCCTGGGGCGCTCCACTTGATACCGGCTGCCAACTGGACATCGAGCCGTTGATCACTTGTTGAGCCCGACAATCTAGCCAGCTTTCTATCCACCTTATATCCATTCATCCAATCCATACTTTTTTAACTTGCTGGCAAGAATACTGTGGGAGACTGTATCAAAAGCTTTGCTAAAGTCAAGATATATCACATCCACTGCTTTCCCTATATCCACAGAGCCAGTTATCTCATCACAGAAGGCAATCAGGTTGGTCAGGCATGACTTGCCCTTGGTGAATCTATGTTGACTGTTCCTGATGACCTTCCTTTCCTCCAAGTGCTTCAAAATGGTTTCCTTGAGGACCTGCTCCATGATTTTTCCAGGGGACTGAGGTGAGGCTGACTGGTCTGTAGTTCCCTGGGTTCTCCTTCTTTCCTTTTTAAAAGATGGGC